GGGGGCTAAGAAATATTGGAATATCATCAATAGTATATTCGTTGCTATTCGGATTTTATCCAGATTTACTTTAATTACCGACTAGTTTTCACAAAATTAAAATTCTAAAGAAATCAAAAAGCTCAAAATTAATAATTTATTCCAATGTAGCGCTTCAATAATATAATTCTTGAGATTTTATTTGCGACCAGAAATATAAAACCCACGACGTTTATATTTCGGGCACAAAATTATTTTCGATGAGTCTTATGCAAATGTCGTACTTGAGTATCCACTGAGCTCTACATGTTGATCTGCTTCACCTACCCAGTGTGTCACTTCAGTTATCCAGCCATGGAAATCGTAAGTTATAGTCATATCCTGCCGAATAATGGTTAGAAAAGTCACGATTCAAAATTGAGAATATGCTTCCAATACACGTACCATTGTGTTGCAGTGATGCCTGCGTTGTGAATAATACCCAAAATACGAGTTTTGCCTGAACTGCAGAGTACTGTTTCTCCAAGACAAAGGACAGCTGATGTATCGGCGAGAGATCTAACTTGCGCTGCAAGATAAATACCAGGAGAAGGAGCGATGCGAGTTGAAGCGAGCAGTAGAACATGACATTTCCCAGAGTCTGCAACAAGTCGCTCTGTGTCATCCCATGAAGTTGCGAATAATACTCGCGATTCGGTAGTTGATACGTAGCAAGCATGTAAACTGCTATAGACACAGACGCTTACGTTAGCTGCTTTATCTGCGCAGTGGATGGAAACAAGTCTACTTACAAAAGACAAGCGGGACGACTACTTCGACATAGTTAAGGAGGAGAAGAAATTCTGCCATGTACAGAAGAATCTGCACCTTGCGAGTGTATCTTACCTTGACCGAAAACTTTTGAAGCAATTTTCCAGCAGACTCAACCGCTGGGTGGATTCTGGCGCTGGCACGTAGATGGCTTGCAACAGGAAGAAGTTCTGCATTGTTTGGGATCTTCGTAGTCACTACAGGAGTGACGGATATTTTGTTCCTGCCGGATTTAATCAGTTCAGGGACTCGTCGTTCAGAACCAAGGTCGGTTTGTACCTGTTCCAGCTCAACACGTGCTGAAGCTACCATGTATTGGAGTGATGACTCTTGCTCCAGTAGTGTCTGTATCCTGTCCAGTGTAGTAGGGACTCGATTTCCAGTGTTGGTGCCTTTATTCCAACATCTCTCTCGGTCAATTCGCTGCTCCAATTCCTTCAGACCACGACTGGTAGGCTCCATATCACGCACTGAGAGTATTATCAAGACGATATCAACGAACATCAGTCCTAACGTTGTCCACACAGATGGGGAGTTCTGCATGCAGTAGGATACAAACAGCGCGTTAAAGACTTCGACGTTGAAGACGATGACTTCAGGCATCTCGTCGGTGAGATGAACAACAGTCCGAGTGAAAACGTATCTCAAGGCCAGTTTTATCACTGGTAATAGCAAGGCAAACCCCATTTGACCTTCATCAGACAGCATCTGAAAAACACAGTAATATATCGGATAGAGCGTCTCCAGAGCTACTTGGCACGCCATCACCTTCATCACGTTGGTCAGCATAACTTTAGCTCCTGGAGTCTCACGGATCTTCTTCCTCCATTCAATTGTAATCGAGATCGTGACTAGAGTTATCCACGGCAGTGTTGTTGTCACCAGAGGTCCGAAATAATAATTGCGATACAATAAATAATTGGGTTTTTCAATAATAATTTTTATTATTGAAACTTACTTGTACCATCGCAATAAGTTATTGACCCAATTATTGTCAATAAATACACTCCAACATCGCTCTATTGTATCACAGCAAATCGATTGCAGGTGACATCACAATCCCGCCCCCGTGACGCAGACTAC